TGGCGGCTCCCCGCTTATGCAAATGAAACCCGGGAAATTCAAATCCCGGGCTTCATTTGCAAGTGCAGTATGCCTACATTACCCCGCTAGTTTGAACTAGCAGGGTAGTGTAGACATACCCTGAGTGGCTACTCTGGTGCATCTGGTTGAAAGGTCAGTGAGTGGAGAGCCCTCCACTTGTGATTCTCAGCATGAACCCTTTCATGGAGTCAGAGGCGTAGCGAGGGTGTTATGTGCCCGAGGGTAAAGGACAAATTTGCTTCTCTGCCCCACCCCCCGCCATGTGGCATGGCCCCGAACCTGGTGCACAGCTGAGGGGAACTTGTACCGCATCTTCCCCTACCCCCTACAGTTTGGGGCCAGGCTCCCACATGCACTAACCTGCCAGTGGAGATGGAGGAGGGTCGGGCTTGGAGCAGAGAGGCTGGGAGGAGGCTCCAGGTGCTGGTGGCAGGCAGAGTAGGAGCATGTGAGCTGAAGGGATAACGGGGGAGCAGAATGGGATTAAATTGGAGCCTCCCTAGTGTGGTGCACAGGGGAAACTGACCCCTCCGGCTCCCTCGCTACACCACTGCCCCCCCCTCCTGCAGATCTATCATCTTATGCATGTGCAAGATCTGTGAGAGCCGTCCCATGACTCTGCAATTAGTGTCTGGCACTGGCTTCTGGGTGGTGTCTCAATGCTACCACATTCACCTCCAAAGAGCGGGCTTCTCAAAGCAGGCCCTTGCTGCTGACCCCCAGGGCATCTACAGGTCCAGTCTCTTTCAATGGGCCCACTTCCCAGGGCTCATTGATCTTGGATCTGGCTTCCATCCCCTCTCCAACCTTTGCAACTGCCCAGAGGTGCTCACCTTCCGTCTTATCCATTCCCACCTCACTCGCCCCACAGGGACAGTCTCTGCCTCACTTGCCCTAGGGACTATTCTACCAAGACATAATACAGAGTTGCCATGTAAAAAGACTCAATACAAAGCTAAAAACTTCAATGAGAGAATGAAAACTTCCTGCCTGTCAGGGCGGTTAAACATTGGAATAAAGTGCCTAGGGAGATTGCGGGATCTCCATCACTGGAGATATTTAAGACCAGGTTAGACAGACATCTGTCTGGGATGAGCTAGGGCAACTCAACTTTGGAAGCCCCAGGGGCCACACTGATACTTACAGAACATGCTGAGGGCCTCAACTTAAGTGTGGTTGCATATGCAAGCAAATATATACAAATAGCTTCTCACACTGACAGGCATGAATACAAAGATTAAGGCAAGACTGTACAACACACAGGCCCCATTTAAGTCAGTTCTGCTGATAAGATGCAATATTTACCCGATTTCTACCCATGTGACAGCACTTTTCATGAGCAATGACAGTTCAAAAATTTAACTACTAAAACACAAACAGAAGATCATTACACTGACTACTTTTTTATTTTGGCTCCCACTCGCCAGCCATGTGTTGATCCTCACATAAACCCAAACTGCACCATGGGACACAAACTGGCCATGGGCAACATACCAAGTTATTAATAAATATTTTATAAACCTTTCTTTCTCTGCTGCCATGTCTCCTCTCCTTGCTCTATCTGCCTGCTGTCCTCCAACTCCTAACCCTCCTCTACTATCCTGACTCCTGCCCTTCTCACTGCCCTCAGCCTTCCTGTGACCTGCTCCCCCCCCCC